GTCCGCCTCTGAGTCCCGCTGACCTCTCTGGACCCACCAGGCTCAGCGGGCCAGGCTGCTACCCAGAGACAAACAAATTGCTTCGATCTGGAGCGTCTGGGCTCAGGAGCTCAATGTCTGCCCAAGCTAACCCGCAGACCAGAAAGGAGTGGCTTCCTCCCTGGCAGCCCTTCGTGAGAGGCTGTTACCCTGCAGGTGCCAGGGAGGCTCTTCCACCTGCAGTCAGTCTTCTGCCTCCCTCTGGTATCAGGAGGGCGGGCAGTGGCGGATTTGAGAAGCAGCCACCCTTGGCACTCAAGGCTTCAACGATCTGCAGCTTTGCCTCTGCGCAAGCTCACCAGGCCCCTTCCCCTCTGGCCCTGGGTTCTCTCCCGAAGCCCCCACACTAACTAGAACAAAGCCCAGGCTGTCCTTCCTGGCTGCGGGACCCTGCAGGTGGGCCCTCCCCTCTCGGAGACCTCGGTCCCCCACGCACTCCACTCCAGCCCCACTGGCTTCCCTCAGCGCCCCGCAGAAGCATGTCCCTGCCTCAGGGACTTTGCACTCGCTGCTCCTTCTGCCCGGACAGCTCTTCCCCTGGTTGGTGCAGCTGCCACGAAACCTCATACAGAGCTCTTCTCAGACAGGGCTCCCCCAAGGGCTGGCCTGACCACCCTAGCTCGGCACCCGCCCACACACCTGCCCTGCTCCTCTCCACAGTGGGACCCTAGTCAGTCTCTCTGTAACACATATCCGGCCTGAAGATCTCCTTGTTTATGACTTTGTGTCTGTCTGGTGCCTCATACAAAGGGAGCCTCTGGAGGGGAAGGGTCTGCCTGGCTTGTGCTGTCATTTCCCCAGTGCTTAGACGAACGCTCGGAGCATGGCTGGTACCCAGAGAATATTAGCTGGCTGGTTCCCCAGTGTCAGGGCCTTGCAGGTACAGGTAATTGACAAGTGGCCAAGCAGAACTCTCCAGTGTCCCTGGAATGCCACAGACACCCAAACCAGGCAAAGGAAGGCTGGCCAGTTTACCTGGGGGCAGGGCGGGCTTCGCGTAGAAGGCCAGCGCAGCAGGGGTTCGGTGAGTCTGTGGGCAGTGGTTGTGGCTGTGCAGGATGAGGGCAGGAAAGGAAACCCGCACAGGGCCCCTCGGTCATGAGAAAGCGCGTGGGCCGGGCTGCTGGGGAGGCGACCTGCAACGGCCGCTGGGAGGTCGCCCCCCGCCCCCAGCTGACATTCTGCTCCTGTGGTGTCGAAGACTGTGACACGGAGGGTGACTCAGTCAGAACTGCATTTCTAAAAAGATCCCTCTGCCAAAATTGGAGTTGCCCAGGTCCCCGGCCCTGTTATGACCATATTCAGGCATATTCCAAAGGGCTGTTGCCCTCTTGCTAAAGATAGTTCGCCTTTCTCTGGGGCAATAATGTCACAGCACCGAACTTCAGGAGTGACCCCGGCTGCCTCCCCCTGGGTTCACGCTGTCCTGGGCTGCGGTCTGCAGCTGTGCGCCCTCACGTCTCACCCACGCGGCGGCCTCTTGGGGGCTGGGGACAGGCCAGGCCCACAGTGGCAGCACTTGAGTTTGGTCCACCCCCGTGTCGCCCAGGCTTGGGTGGAGACCCAGCACCCTCAGCAGTGAGACAGAATAACGATAGCGTCTGTCTGGCAGGGACGGCGTGAGGATCCAATTAGTTAATATCGATTGTGAAACACTAGGCAGAGTCCTGGATCAAGAGTGTTATGTGAAGTATTTGTGGTTATTTTTGGCCAACACAGTTTCCAGTTCCAGAGTGGATCCCGTAAACTTGACGTTGATGGGACGAAAACATGTGTCCAGGCTCTACGCACGCGTGTGTGCGCACCTGTGCTCCCCAGCCGGGAGCTGGGCGGGCATGCGGCACCCACACACGCCCACTACCGCAGTCCTGCTTGTGCCCGACAGACTCGGGGTGCCGTACACACGTTACCTTGGTATCCTCGCAAGGGTCCTATAGGACGGGAATCACCCCCTCCTTTCTAAAAATGGGGACAACTGAGGCGCAGAGAGGGGGCCACTCGGCACGGCCCAGCTGGCAGGGCACGTCTGCCCACCTCTCCAAGAACCTCACGCCCTCGAGGGCAGGGGCCCAGCACTCCCACCGCTGCGTCCCAGAGCCATGCCTGGGAGCAGAGGCAGCAAGGCGGGGTGTGATGGGTAAGCTCATGTGTCCGCTAGACAGGGCAGGGGTGCCAGGGAGCTGGGAGACCTTCTGGTGTGGCTGTGTGACGATACTGGCCTGCGACTCAGTGAAGAGATCCACCCTCCCTGCGTGGACGGGCATTCCCTAAGCTTTGAGGGCCTAAACTAAAATCAAAGATGGAAGAAGGATGAGTTCTCCCTCCGCTGCTCCTGCCTGCGACATTGGGTCCCTGGTTCTCCGGGGCTGGGACTCAGGGCTGGAGTCAGCGGTCCTTGGTTCTCGAGTCTACACCTGCGTCGGCGTCGCTGGCTCTTAGACAGTGACAGCAGTGAGTATCCTCCGACTGTCTCCATGCAGCCCGGGGTCCCAGTTCCCCACAGAGCCCTGTCTAGTACATCTACACTCTAGGGCATCCTATTGTGCTCAATTACTAATGCACCCCTCAAAAATGTTGCCATTCTAAATAATGCCTTTTGCAGCAACATGGATGGAGCTGGAAGGGATCATGCTTAGGGAAGTAAGCCAGAAAGAAAAAAAAAATACCGGATGGTTTCACTCATAGCAGGAGTGTAACAGATCAGGGTGGAAAATAATAATAATGATGAACAGCTATATACCAGAGACATTTTATGAGGGTGGAGTGGGGAATGGGGTCAAAAACGGTAGGGGAGGGAAACACACTGGATGATGGTGATGGCACACGGGTGATCTGGTGATGGGAAGCTCACAGGGATGACAACTGAGATGGAAAAAATGCACAAAATGATGTAAAAATAAACTATTATGTTATTTAAAAAAAAATGTTGCTGATCTGACCCTAGAACCCATGCACACGATGCCTTCTGTCAGGTATGTTATCCTATGCTAACAGGAACTTTCCAGATATGGGTAACAGAGATGGGAAGATTATCTTTGATGATTTGGATAGGCCCAATGTCATCATGCCAGAGCGAGAGAGGAATCCGTTAGAGGAAGGCCCACTAAAGACTGCCGTGATGCAGCTACGAGCCAAGAGGTATTCCAGCAGCTTCTAGAAGCTGGAAGAGGCAAGGAGTGGATTTTCTCCTAGATGCTTGAGGGAACCACCCCTGAGGCTGGTTTGACTTCACCCTGCAACACTGATTTGGGACTGCCAAACTTCTAACTGTGAGATTACATCTTTAAGTCAATAAATGCATGGTCACTGGCTGCTGTGGCCAGAGGGAAGCCATTAGTCTTTATTCTAGCAGACCTCACACAGTAAGGAAGGGAGGGGCCTTTCTCATCTGCCTGAGTCCCCCAGGCTGGGTAACCCAAGCCTGCACCTGCACACACACACAACTACTTCTCAGGGGTATGTGGATGTCTGAAGGAGATAGAGGATTCTTCCAGGTGATAATAGCACAAGTCTGCAGAGGCAGGGCAAGAAGCCAAAATTCAAAGCCATAGGAACTGGTGTTGCAGCACAGAAATGCAAAAGTCCTAATAAATCACCAAGCAAGAGACTCAGTGCTCCTTCCCACACGCCCATGCCTGTCCGCCTCCCAGCCCCCCGGGTCACTAAAATGAAGGTGAGATCTATATTGAGTCACACCAAAGGGTGCCTGCTTCGTGTCATTAGGGAGAAAAGCAGGTTCTAGACAGAGTCAATCATAGGATCCCATTTTTGTTAAAAAAAAAATATGCAGACTACATGCATGATACATATGTAACACAGAGGTGTAAGGGTCTGTGAAGAAATGAACAAGGGGCTGATGGAGATTATGGACAGGTGCTTTTTTTAATTCACAAAGAACAAGATGGCTGGTGTAATAAAAAAAAATAAAGTTCAATTAATTAAAAAAAAAAAACAAAACAAGAAACAACGGAGCTTTCTGTGCTGGGTCCACGTTATGCCCTTTCCGGCCAGACTCCAGGGCCTCGCTGAATGGCAAGCAATGGTGGCACCATTAGAGTGGCTGCGGGCGGGCTCAGGAGAGGGAATGATGAGATGGGGCCTTCGAGTCAGAAAACCTACAGACGACCGCGAGGGCGGCTTCTGTCCAACGACCCACGGCCCTCAACGCGGGCCCACTCTGGGGTGCCGCAAGCCCGCCCTCACCGCGCGGCCCCTCGCGCCCAGTACACCCCCACGGCACACGACCCTCTCGAGGGCACCCACCAGGCTTCCTGGCAGGTGTCATCCAAGACCCCAGTGAAAATACAGATGCATCGATCACTCGGGGCTTCTATCACCCCCACTCACCGCAGCCCCCCTCTTCCTGCGGTGGCGTTTTTTGTTTTTATCATCTGAACGGGTTACAAAACCACACTCCCACGAATAGCATAAATAATGGATAAGGTGTGTGCGTGTGCGTGTGCGTGGGGGGGACAGGAAGGGGGGCTAACGTTCTGAGAAATTCCCGCAGGGCCCGGCAAGGCAATAGCAAACGCATTTCTGCTGTATCATTTTTAACTGTTTGCAAACTTCTGCTGTGTGGACGTGTAGCGGCTGCAGACTTCGCTGCCGCTGTCGGGTGAGATTTGCTGGGAGGAGTTTCAAAGAAGGAGAGGGAGTCGCCGCGGGGGTTGGGGAAGTGGATGGAGAGGGGACGGGAAAAGTGTGAGCGTGCGCGGCGCCCGACCCGCCTCCGGATCCACAAACCCGGCATCCAGCCGGCTCCCGGCTGGGGCTCGCGCCTCCGGGCGAGGCCCCTTTAAGAGCCAGCGCGCGCCCCCGCCCCGCGTGCGCACACTTTCCCTAGCAACCGCCCCCGGGGAGGAGGAGGTCCTGGCAACGGCGCGGCTGCCGCGGGGTCACGTGACGGCCGCAGCTGGAACGCGAGCGCGCGCCCCGCCGGGGCCTGAGCGCTGCGGCGCGTGCGCGAGCGGTGCAGCACCGGCCGCGGGAGCTGGGAGTATTATGGGCTGTGGGTGCCGCTGAGCAAGATGGAGCTGTCTGCAGTGGGCGAGCGGGTCTTCGCGGCCGAATCCATCATCAAACGGCGGATCCGAAAGGTGAGCCGCCGCCCGGGGCAGGACGCCGCTCCCCGCAGCCGGCGCCCGGGACCGCGGGCTTTCGGGGCGAAGCGGTCCCGCTAACCCCGGCTCTCTCGCTCACCCCCGCGCCGCCGCCGCCTCGCGTCCCCGCATCCTCCCCACCCCCATCACCCCCTTTTTCCCTCTCTGTTTGGCAGGGACGCATCGAGTACCTGGTGAAATGGAAGGGGTGGGCGATCAAGTGAGTGCCGCGGGGTCCAGGAGCGAGGGGGGAGGGGGGGCGGGCGCCCGGGCCTTTTTTCCTGGGGGGTCGCGCCCGTTTGCGCCCTGTCGTGCGCCGCTGCCCCCGGCTTGCCTCTTTATGTCACGCTTGTGGGGCTCGGCAGGTACAGCACTTGGGAGCCCGAAGAGAACATCCTGGACTCGCGGCTCATCGCAGCCTTCGAGCAGAAGTGAGTTTGGGCAGCTGGCCGGGCGGCGGGGGCGCCGCGCGGGGAAGCGGGGAGCCGGGCGGCCGCGCGGAGTGGGGCCCGGGGAGGGGCTCGTTTTAACCTTTGGCGTTTCTCGCCGCAGGGAGAGGGAACGTGAGCTGTATGGGCCCAAGAAGAGGGGACCCAAACCCAAAACTTTCCTCCTGAAGGTAACCTGGCCCAGCCCCAGCAGTCCCCTCTCGGGCCCCCGGCCCCGGCGCAGCACGGGGCCTGCGAGGGAGGGACAGACCCGCGGCCGCCTATCTGGCGGGCGGCCCTTTCCAGAGGGGCCCCAGCTGGGCAAGGGGTGGTTGTGAGCCCCTGACTCCGGAGCCGCTGGCAGCAGGCCCTGGCCAGCTGGACAAGAGGGGCCTGGGAGTGGGGTGCCTGGTTTGGATGACAAACCAGGGGTCGGGGCTGCTGAAGAAGGGCACTGCTGAGGCAATTGTGGCAGGAGGTCGCTTCTGCATGCGGAGGACAGCCCTCCTCTCCCCCAGCTCCCGAAGGGAGGGTTTTAACCGGAGTTAGACCCCAAGGGGGGTAGGGAGAGGAATTTGGGAACCACCTGACTCCCTGCCCCCAGGGTCTCCCCTCTGTAGGATTTGTTGTTGTGTCTGCTTACAACCTCATCAAGGGGCCCGATTTGTATTTGACCTTAAATCGTTGCACTTTGACTTTATGACTGGACCTCTGGCCTGGGCGCTGAGCCTCAGTCCCCTATCCCCTGTTTTCAGGGGGGTGCTAGTAAGGATGGGGGTGAGAACAGTGAAAGCTTAGCACATTAGCCTTAGGGAGGGAGGGGGACCGAGTGCTAGTGGAAGCCATCTTAGAATGGGGGGGGGTTACATATTTTATATATTTGTTGAAAGAAAACAGAGCTTGAGAAAGGGAGGATCAGAGTATGGGGTGGCAGGTGGGGCTGCAGCAGACCTCCTTGGGTAAGCGCAGTTGCCCCATTATTGTGCAGGTTGTCTCAGGCCCCCTCCCGCCCCAGCAGCCTGTGACTTTGTAGCCATCAGCACAGGAAGGGCAGTTCCAGAGACGCTGTGCAGTATGCAGAGTCCAGAATCTCCAACGTGTCCAAAACATTCAAAGACCTGGGGGGTTGGGGTGCACTACACCCCACCTACCCCCAAAGAACTGCACATGTATGTGTAAGGATTTGCTTTGGACTCAAAGCAGAAGTGAAAAAATTGTTAAGTTTCCAGAACTCTCTGTTTCTGTGACATCCCCACCCCCCACCTGTACACACTGTAGGGGGTCTACGGAGCAGCCTTAACCCTTGATGCCTCTTAGGATGGCACCAGCCCAGCCGGGGGCGGGAGGACCGAGATGGCCTCTCAGTGCGGCTGCAGCACCCTCTAGTGGCGAAACACGTAATGACCATGAACCCTGATACGCAAGATGCCTTTTTTTTTTTTTTTTTGATCGCGCTCCAAAGTGAGCTGGCTGGGTCTGTCAGTGCCCAGCCCCCCACGTGGGTTATTTTTTTTTTAATCTATCCAAGAACACTGTAAAGTGGGGAGTATCATCCCCACTTCAGATGAGAAAAATCAAGGTCCAGTGAGGAAAGTGACTTCTGCACTCCCACCCCCCAGCTTCCTGGCTTCTTCCTGCCTCTTTTCTTCACCTTCACCCCAGATTGTCCACAGCAGGCTACAGGGGCAAGGTGGACACACACACACACAGGACACTGGAAGCTGAAGGTTTTCTGGCAGGGCGCAGCGGGGCAGATGAGGGGACCTTGACCTGAACCCCAGGGACAGGTAGCTGAGCGAGGCGGAGGGTGCCAGGTCTGATGGAGGCAGCTGGGGCTGGGCTGTGTGCACAGAATAGGCACATCCCAGGGCACGCAGGGTCCAGGAGCCCGTGAGGAGGACGGTACCCCCATTTCACACCTGGGGAAGCAGACGTGCGGGTTGGCTGCCTCACGGGTGTCCAGAGTCCGGGGGTGTCTAGGCCTTTGGCCCCCCGCCGGCTGCGCTCGGGCCCCTGGGACGCGCCTGTCCAGGTCAGAGTGTCCTGAACGCACAGGCTGCGGCTACCTTTTCCCTTCACAGGCAGACCAGGCCCTACCTTCAAAGAATTCTCAACCTGGGGAGGACAGAGGAGGGGGAGGAAGATAAGCCAGCCCCTTTTTAAAGAATAGTGACACTTCAGAATTACAAATAAGGACGATTGCTTGTGGAAAGTTCGGAAACCGTACACTTAAATATATTTCTCATCGACCCTCCCCCCATGCAGAAATCTGGTCCTTAATGAGTACTTGCCACATGCCAGGCACTGTGCTAGTGACAGTGACAGCCTGATGGCCTCACAGGCCCCTGCCAAAGCCTCCCGCCCCCCCCAAAGGCGGGGCTCCTGGCCTTAGTCTGGGCGGGTGTGGGGAGTCACAGCCTGTGTGCCGCCACCTGCTGGCCAGGGGAGTGTGCCGCAGGCAGCCCTCAGGTACTGGGAAGGCTGCTGCAGTGCAGAGGCTCCAAGCCACAGACCCCTCTCCCAGATGCCAGCGGGAGGGTGTCTTGGCCGCCACCCCTTCTCCCCCATAGACCAAGGTCCTCCGCCTGCAGAATCCCTGCTGCGCTAGGACCTGGCTTTCGGCAGAAGAGTCCTCTCCACCCTCTGGCCCCCACCACTGATTTTGGTCCCTGGCCCGAGTCTCCCCTGCACAAGCCCTGCCTCTGTCCTAGAGGTTCCCTCTGCTGGGGCTTAGGAATGCCAAGACTGGACCTGTGCCCCCAATCTCTGTTCCTCTAGGCCCACGCTTCCTCTGCATCAAATTGCTCCTTGTTGCTAATCGCTTCTTGTTGCTAATCGCTTGTTGCTGGTGGTCCCCAGGGGCACTGCCCCCTCCCCCATAGGGCTGTGGCCTGTTCAGCCCAGAGCCGCTGGCATGTGCTCGCAGGTCTTGCCAGGGAAGGAGATGCTGGCCGTGCAGCACAGTCAGTCAGTCTTGAGTCCCTTGCCTTGAACCTGGCCTCTCTGAGAGCCCCGCTACACCCACGTCTCCCCTGAGCTGGCAGGGCAAAGGCACCTGGTCTGGGCGCAGTTGCCTAGTCTGGCATCTGCCTGCTCAGAAGGCTGCTCTGCTGCCCCGCCCCCGGGCCATCTTGGCACGGAGACTGCGGTCCCAATCTCAGTCCTGCCCCCCCAAACCCGCGCGGAGGGTTGGAGCCAGGATTTAGGTGCTGGCTTCTAGTTCCACTGACACTGCTTTGCTCGAAGCCAGACCCAGGCAAACAGAAGAGTCAGGCCCAGAGGGGAAGTGCCAGGGGCTGGGAACAGAGGAGGGGCGGAGGGGCCGGGGTCTGCGCCAGGTGTGACCCCGGGGGAGGCAAGTGCTGGGCTAAGGGGCCCTGCGAGCAGGGTCAGCAGGACTGGGTGTGGTCAGGAGTGCGCCCTGCTCTCCTGTCACCTAATCGGCCCTTGGAGGTGTGCCAGGCTGGACTGGCACGTTCTCAGCGCCCCTGGTGGTCAGCCCTCCTGGGCAGCAGGGGCAGCTCCCGGCCCCTGGTTCTGCCCATGGCCAAGCTCA